CGGTACAGCTCGAAGACGGTTACGCTTTGGTGGGAGGCGGCGCCTACGACATGTATGCGGAGCCAGGCAATCTTCTCGTCGCAAGTCGACCTGGTGACGACGGGAAATCCTGGATAGCCGGCGGAAAGGAGCATTTAGGGGCGTCGCCAGCAAACATTAAGGCCTATGCAATCGGACTGCGTGGCGTGCACTTCGGGAAGCCAAACTGTTCTTTGAAGAATGCCACGTCCGCCATGGCACAACATCCCTCTCAAACGATTACGGCATCTTCAGGACGTGTGATTGGTGAGCGAATCTCATCCTTCACTATGCAATAATTTTAGAAACTGGATGGTGGAACGAAACGGAGCTCTCTGGTATGAAACAGGTCATTTGTAAGAGTTTTAAGCAGTATTTCCAGTACATCTGAAATATATATTTTGATTTAGCGCCTTCAACCAAAGGAATACGAAATCGGACTGAATATAAAAGACATTATTCAGAAAGAAATAATTGTCATACTACCGTCCTTTCCACAAGTCAGACGAGAACACCGTGTTATGACTCGTTTCCTGACATTAGGTATTAAATTTAAAAAATCTCAGCCAATTTTAGAATACTTCCTGGATATGTAGTTTTCGTATTAAGGGCTGCCTGCCAATGAGTTGGTGTTACAATGCAGTCATTTTCAAGGCTGACTTTGCTTGGATTCCGCTAATCTTGCGACATCATTATTTTCCGGATACTTCATTCAGAAAAATCGAATTCCCTTTGCTCGGCTTTGGTTAATGCAGTAAATGACTTGAAGAACTTTCTATTAGGCTTTATTCCAGGAAGATCGAAGGAGTTGGAAAAGTCGTGCTCCGAAGCTTCCTTGGAGATGCTCTATGGTAGAATTTGATAGTGATATGGAACGACTATTGGAATGACTTCATTTTCTATTTGATTGCACTCCCACTTCTAGTCACAATTCTTTTGAAGCATGCATTCATCAGCGAAATCCATGATTACTTTGATTTGGTTTTAGTTGGAGGCGGAGCTGCCGTCAGCCGCGGTGGGGCGGGCAACATGTTGGTGGGATTGGTACCCTCCTGCAACGGATCCAAGTTCCAGGGAATAGCGAAGGATCACTTGGTCGTGGATCCGCAGCAGCTGACAGTGTATGCTATTGAATGTACGAATGTAATAATGTGAAAATCATTTTTTGATGGCTTTCCCTTTCTTCAAGCCCAACCTCAACCTCACCTCCCCCCACCTTCTTCTCTATGTAACTCACTAACGTTAGGCCTTGGCCTAACGAGGCAAGTCTTTTTTTTGCCAATAAATTCCATTGCAAGAGTGATATTTGGGCTGACTGGATTTCTTTTTTGTTATAAAAATAAAATACCAATAAGAATTTACTAATATTCTTTTTAAGTGCGACCCGCGCAAGCTTGGTCACATCCGTATGCAGCCCCCAGCTCAAAAGAAGTTTGAGTACTGCTGGTTTAAAAGAAACTCAATCGTCAACTTACTGGTTCAATTACGCCAAGAAGAATTAATCTCAGGTCTTCCAGACATTTCGTCGAAGACGTGTAACGTAACGTTAGGACAATAGCAGGCCTATTCTGTCTCTCATGACTCTTTTACCAGAGTATGTGTAACGTTAGACCGATTAGAGGTATGTTTCGAGTTTCATTAACCATATCGGTGCGGTAGGGGAACGTTAGACCTATATGGAGTTCCTCGACTCGTCTCAATGAGTTCTAAGAAGAAAATGCCTCTGGGAGCATGGAAAGCAACATGGGCGCCATTCTGTTAATTTAAGGATGTCCGAATGAGATCTCTCCGCATACCACCAAATCGATCGGCCACTGCTAGCCACCATTTCAATCTCAGCTCATCTAATGAACTCGGCACAAAATTATATAATGCATTAAAAAATTAGAAGATTCAGACACCAATAATAAGGCCGAAGAAGTCATGAATCTGGCATAACTAAGGCACGATATCCGGCAACACTGAAGGAGGGAACCGGAGCCATCGCGCTAAGTCTAAATTAACATCCAATTTCATTTTTTAATGGTGAAATGGTGCACTGGAAGAAATAAAAAGGACTCTTTTTGTCACCTAAAAGTCAATATCTTTCGTTTGGCTAGTTTCTTTCCTCCGGAAACTTCCCAGGAGCGGCTACACCGGGGGGGGGGGAATAAAAAAAAAATTAATAATCTTTAAAATACCAGAACGAAATTTAAATCTCTGAAAAGCGAGATTCAGAGATCTTCACAACCCCGGGGGAGATGGAGCTTCAACTTTTCTAGAGCGATTCCATGTTGAGAGAGTAATAAGTGTCACGGGTTTGAATGTCACTTAATGTTTAAAGAAGCCAAAGGTAGCGGGCCAATGGGTTCTCTGCCCCGTGACAAACATTGCTCTGAACAAAAACAAGTGGATTCTCACTCACACACACTAACACACATTTATTTAGAGTAAATTTATCACATGAGACATCACCAACAGGTGAAGACAAACCGGCGAAGATGAACTGGTGAAGATGAACCGATCAGGACAAGCCGGTCAGAAAAAAACCAAACCTTCAAAGTTCGGAAAAAATGTTTTCCAACCCACCGTCTAACAAAGGGTCACTGCTAGGCGGAAGGTTGGGCATGTGGGAGAAACCCAACATTACCAGCTTAGGCCTAGGCCTAGCCTATACATACAAGGCCTACACAGGTACAGAAGCACACAAAGACTCAACACACTGCTCTCTTGGTTTACAGTAAACGACACTATAGTGAGAGACACTGTGAGGTGAGGCACATGCCGGAAGGAAGTGGCAGGGAATGGCGTAGTTTCCGCGTCTGCCTTCACGCCATCCACCTCCACAGTGTTGCTAACTCGAGCAGGACACAAAGACATATAACCGGCACAAACATTCACCCAAAAAGAACTGCCAAATATGGCCAGGAAATCCAGGCCCACTGGGGGATTGTGAACCACGGCTGGGCTGCACAGAGGTCACTCCCCCAGGGGCTACAATCATACGTCAACACAAAAACATTTCAAAAGTGGAGAGAGTGACCACCTCACGTAAGCGTGCCGAATTTCGTTCCTGTTGATGCTCTTAGAGAGGAACACGAGACGGTTGAATTTTGTCGCCAAAGGGGGTTGAAGAGAGGTAATAGCCAGCGCTACCGCGCCTATTGATGCTAATTTCAGTGAATGTAAGGCTTAATGGCCCCTGCTTCAGCACCAGTTATGTAGAAATTGAATAAATGCCAGATGACTTCTCCATCAAAGTCATCAATAAATTGAATGGTTGAATATTCTTGATGTCTCATTTTTGGAGGTGAGGTACTTCCTCTTTTGCCAGTTCAAATACTGCAGGGAGTCCACTGACGACACATCTGACGCAATTTGTCACTGCTGATTCCTACTTTTTTCGGTGGTAGAATAACACGCAAAAAGAAAGCACTCCTCAGTATTACCAGCGCAATTTAAGGATTTTCAAGTCAGAGCGGAAGTAATTCGACGTGCGGCAAGCTCACTGGTACCTCACAAGTTTCTTCATCGAGAGAATAAGTCTCTATCCAGCTGAAAGTAAGAGATATTCTGCCCATAGGAAGGGCATCCGTGCAACTATTCTTTTGGAGCTTCGGGGTCATAATGGGCGTAAATCAAAGCATTTTTCTCCACGTGGGTGGAGTTTACTTCTTGGCAGACTGACACGATACAAGAATGAGCATTGGCATGCATCCACACGACTCCCTGCTCTCCAAAAAATGTAAAGGAGAATTCCTCTCCTACGGGAGTAGGAATAAAAGGAGGCCAAAAAAAAAATGGTACCAAGTTGACCTTCCACCTTTCAAATATGAATTCGTTTCAGCACCTTTCCTTCTACCACGGTTCCAGATACCAGGATTAATCTAGACGAAGGGCTGGGAGTCCACATCTACCTCGCGGGCAAGGCTGGCTCATCCTCCTCAAATTCTCATCTAATAATGATGCGAAAGGGCGTCTCCTGTGACTTGAGTTTATTTCAGAATGAACTTTCCCTCAATATTTTATTACAAAAACTCCTTCAAACGGATGTGCCCCCTCTAAACGTCCTAGTTATTATATCTAATAATGATGCGAAAGGGCGTCTCCTGTGACTTGAGTTTATTTCAGAATGAACTTTCCCTCAATATTTTATTACAAAAACTCGCTTCAAACGGATGTGCCCCCTCTAAACGTCCTAGTTATTACTCAATTTTCTGGTTTTCATGTCAGTCATGATTGTAATTGGTTGCTATTTGAATTGGACCAAAGCATAAAGTCATAACAAATAATAACTGAGCCGACAGTCGCAAGTATCGGCAAGTCCTACAAATGCGACTACAAGGACTTCGTTCACTCCCATTGCATTTCAGATTTTTGGCGAGATTTTCACACCAATGAACGTGAATTCCCGTTCAACTGTAGTACTGGGTTGCATTGTTATATGTCCATCGTATGCGACCACAGCGCCCTCTATCGGCATTCATCGCCATCTGGCTGGCGAGGAAAAAAAATTTCCGGATCGTACATCTTATCGTCAAACATAAGCTGCAGAAGATAGTCTCATGAAAGATTAGGACCAAAGTAAGTCTCAGGATTCCTTGAAAATAACCCTCTTGTGGGCATCCGGATCTTGCTCCGACAAAGTAGACTGCTGATGTACGATTAGACTATAAAGGACGATCGTTTCCATGAGAATTCAGACGAAAACAGCAGGATAAATGTAACGGAATGAAAAAGGAAATACATTTTTAATACAAACGAGCGGAGTACGTGACAGTACATGAAGGCTTCATAAAAAAAAAGATAAGTATGCAGAACAATTATTCCCAGAACCAGAACGAGTTACCCTCTCCATTATTTAAAACCCCCCACAGCAAATGGCGACCCCTGTCCTTGCCAATCGGGATCCCGCCGATGTACAGGCGAGATCAGGTATCACCCGACCAAGTCAGATGCGAGTACCGGAGGGGAGCTCATGCGTGTCGCTTCTGATGGGAGGACTATGTCGTCTTGGCATCCGCTTTTTGCTGCTTCAGTTCCGCCCGTTTCTGCATCACCCTTTCCGAATCTTTTTTTATGGCCCACCCGACTATATTCGTCGCCGCCGTGGGCGCGATGAAGTCCACGAAACGGGCGACCTCCCTCTGAAAAGGAAAAAATGTCCGATTTCGTTACTCTTAACGCCACATTTATTTTTATTTTCTTAATTTTTTCATGAGCATCTGTGACTTGACACAGCATTCTAAATAGTTTTAGACGAAAAAAATTAATTATGGCAGGATCTCAAAGTTTCAATTTTGCAACGAACTAGCATTCTGAGTTCCCTCGGACAAGGTTTTTCATCTGCTTCTTCTGCATAGGATTGAGTGAACACTGAACACTTTCCAATACACTTTCTTCTTTAAGATCTGGTAGGTGATAAAATGCAATTCACTTCAAAAAAATCATAGGAAGAGTTCGCTTTTGGAAAGTAGCATTTCACACATAATTATTTATGAAGCATAACTTTTCAATATGATTTTACTTTATTTTTTATTACATTAGTACTGTGTTTGGGAGTGCGTGATCGTATCAGAATGCATTTTTTAGTTCCATCGCGAGCACATGTGGAGATTGCATTGGAATAGGTTCACCACAAAGAAGGTTCAGAGCTCGTCCCACCCACGTCTGCACTTTTCCGCAGTTTTTTTTATTTCCTGCAGATAAGACATCCTAAGACCAGGGTGAGTCGTACACGCGCCAAAGTCCATTGGTTTTATTTGTTCTCGGTCTGAGGAGGATACGTGTCGGCAGATCCCTCAGACACCAGCACTTCCCGACCATTCGAGAGAAAAAGCTGACAGGGGATCTCTCCCTCTTCGCAACTCATCCACCCGTTTTTGCTGAGCTGATTTCAGGAAGCGAGATACTGATGGCCTTCTCTTGTCTTCAGAGTGTGGTTCTTTTGGGCGTCGCAAGCACAGACAGCTCTGGCAATAATGGAAAGGACTTCTGGTGGAAAAATGAAAGAGTTGCCCCAGAGGGAGACATAGAAGGACTCCTCTTAGTCTGTATATGTCCAATGTAAAAAATGATTTGTAAATATCGAGGATAACTTGGGCTGAGAGAGAACGGAATGCAATAAAATTCTGGCACAATGCCTAATAATCCCTTGGGGATTCTTTGTCACCCATGTGCAGAGAGAAATACAATGCCGTTTCAAAGGGAGTGAGTCAGTCACTTTGGTCAAATAGCTTCTCCTTTATCGAAGGACGAATCTGAGTTACCCGAAATCAGCATTTCCAAGAAAATCCTTTCTCTCGAGGTTGGCCAATTGTTCCAGAACGGATGTGCTTCAAGACTGACTTTTCCTCCTACTGTTTCCTTGACGGATGCCCTGCCCTCAAAAATAGCAGGAATTGTCACACATTTTGCAGTGTTGTGCAGTCCAATGACAATGGAAAACCAATGCTTCTCTACCATTCGATACAATTTCACCACTTTGAATAGAGAGAATGATTCAGTTTCGCTTCCAAAAGATAAGATATTCAGTAATATGAAAAACTTGAAAATAAATTTGCCTTGAGGAAAAATTATACTAGTTAAAAAGGATCAGGAAGAGAGACCGATCATATCTTAGGTCTTACCACGATGTCGTGAAGCCAATAACCAGAGGTAACATGAACTTTGGTGATGGAGCGGAGGTCAGATCGAACGAAGATATCCGGAGTCGGAGCCATTAAACCCGTTGGAAGAAGCAATTTATACATCATCTTCGTGTACACGTACCTGCATACCAAAATTAAAAGTTACAATGCCATTCATAACCGGAAAATAATTCACAGTGACAGCAACAGTAGTAACAGAGTGTTTAGCTGTGATACGCTCAGAGCTGTGACCAGGCAATTTTTTGCAGAGTTCATTTCGTGACGACTTTCAAACAGACATATGTGCATATCCATCAACGAATAAAGCTCACCAAGGGTCGACTTGGTGCACAAGAATCCCATTGTTTTTGTATTCGTAGGCGAGACTCCGCGAAAGGCTGTATATAAATGCCTGGAAAGGAGAGAGTACGATCAATTGCTTTCCTCCGTTCTCATACAAGTGCAGCTATTTTATATATGATAGAAGTTTAGTTTTCCATGGTACTGAGGCAGTCGGTCAAGAAGTGAACTCGTATTATCCGATGTGACTCTTCGGGTTTTTCTGTTGATAGTAATTACTTCCTAGGCATTCTGAGCGATGGAATTACTGACTTCTCATGTATGAAAACGCTAAATGAGCCTGAGATGAATTCACACTGATATTAAAATACCTTCGTTGCGGAGTAAGTTGCTGTGAGAGGAACCGGGGAGATGTCTGAAATGGAGGAGACGTTGATGATGATCCCCTTTCTCTTCTCGACCATCCCAGGGAGGACCACGTGGGTCATCCGCACCGTTGACATGTTGTTGACTAGGAGTACGTCCTGATATGTCTTCCCTCCATCCGGGACATCTAGGAACGGGCTGCGTCTCGTTGCCATTCCCACGTTGTTCACGAGGATCCCGACGTCCAGGCCTGCCAACTTCTCCTTTATCCCCTCGTAGATGTCTAGCTTCGTGAAGTCGGCTTGAATCGCCCTTGTCTCAACGCCAAATTCCTTCTCTGATAGACGGTTTTCACATCGTGTAACAGAACTGGATTTGTGCATCATGATGCATAAGAAGCAGCATTAAAAACTTCAAGCAACGAGAATGGAAATATCGAAATTTTCAGAAAATTATACTATCATGAGTTCCTATCAGATGACGATTGATGCTCATCACTTTTAAAGGGAACTGTTCGTTTTCCCAAGATTTGCAAGGGATTTTCAACTGATACCGGAACAGAATTTAGTATTATTATCCTGTTTCAATGAAATTTACTCATATTACGTCTGTTCCGCTTGTAGATGTCCAGGTACACATAAAGTTAATAAGATAGGAGGTATGTCTTTCCATCACTATTGTTGTACGCCTTAACGCAAGTTACGCGAGGAGGTGTTCAAAGATTTTCAACAGAATGTGATGAAATTCTTGAAGGCTGAAGGGACTCCATCAACGTGGGTCTAGCGAAAAATGGTCTCTGCACACAATTTCGACAGTCTGTATTACTCTGTCGTGTGCAAACGAACTGCACCCTACCCTTGGAAGAAGCTTTTCGGGCAAATTTCAGATCATTTCATGTCATATTTCTAATAATCACAGGCACGCATAGGTATAGCTATTAGAACACCACCTGGCAAAGCTTGGTTTGGAAATTCTCATGCATCCCTCTTATGGTCTACACCAATAGTTCTCAATCTCTTCGATCATGCGGCTCACTTTAACAACTGCAAAGTGATCCGCGGCCCACAACAGAAAGGTATATAATTATTGTTCGCCTATCTGTTAATTCTTATTTTTAGATCTATGGATACTTGTCCAACCCACAGCATCTCCGCGGCCCAACGTTTGAGAACGACTGATGTACACCACACTTCAAGTAACGCAATTTGCTTTCACGCTCTTTACCCCACGAAATGAGTTTCAAGGAGGAAGCGGTCTCGAATGGATGACTAATTGAAGCAAATAACTATTCAGAGATGTCACACATTTTTTTCAGCAAATGGAAATAGAATGTCCTGTGTATCGATAGGCTCAATGCTCTGGGAAGAACTTTGAGTTAAGGTCAATGAAACAGGGCAAAATAAAAACCTGTCCGAGTTTCATTTGACCTTCTTCGTACTAAGGGCATCACTAGAAAACAGATTAAATTATTGCAAGGGAAACCTGGGGAGAGGCAGACACATTATAAACGGGAAAAAAAACTTACATGCAATATTTTAAAATATAGGACGCTTTTCTTCATCACGACAGATTCTTACCTATTTGCCAAGCCACTGTCTCGAGCTTATCAGGGTTTCTGCTGATTAAAGCGATTTTCATTCCATGCCTGGCCAACTGTAAGAACAAAACATACACATCTAATTTCATTTGTCGTGGGAATGAAAGGTCAAGGTCGAGGAACTCACTTCCTTGGCATAACTGAGCCCGATCCCGTCCGTGCATCCCGTCACCACTGGAGATAGAAGGAAGTGTGAGAACGTGCATTTCTAAATTCTGGTCATTAAGTACATTCACTCTCATCAATTTGATAACAGCGTGCAGTTCTGTCGAGCTGCGGGGAACGTCAGTACTGTGACACCCGGAGAATGAGTCCGGAGCGAATCTCAGACAGAATTGTTACAAGTGAATCAACTCCGGCTATGACAAAAAGTTTCCAAAAATGTTCGGCTATGACGGCAATGACGGTGCTTCCCACTATTCTAGGCAAATTTTCCAAAATTCTTGTAATTCTCTTACTCATGTTAGCACTTTATGCTATCATTACGAGGGTCCAGAACACGAGAAAAAAGAACGTGGCCAAAGTGTAAATGTAACAGCTGTTAATTTCCTGTTTAAAGTTGTGTGTACCACGTATAGAGAGAAATATTAATAATCCATCAACAATTTCACTATTCGCTAATAATTTGTCCTGCTTTATGGCTCATCCCCATACCATATAAGTTGGAGGATTATTAGTTTCACTCTTCCCTGATCGAATCCAATTCATTTCTAGAAAATCCTCACTTTTTTATTATAGACGATATCGTTTTTGCTGCGCGAGACTGAAAGTTGCAGTTTTTCAGAATGGTTTGGGTTACTCTAGAAATAAATATTTAGATAATGTATCAGTTAAATTTTTGAATAGAAAGTGCAGCAAAATACCAAATTGCATCGAACGAAATTCAATATTTCCGTGTGTCCCCCCCCCCCTCATCCTTTTGGCCCCAAAACACAGGAAAATAACATTCTAGCAGAAACACTGAAAAGAACCCATTTTTACACTTTTTGAAAGCATGATGGGTGTTATGCATTCTCTGAAGTGCTCTCAGGCGTGTTGGAAGCCAAAATTTTTTGCAGTGCAGAGCTTACCCTCATGTTTAAAGTTACCACATAGCTTTCACTTGGCATCTGAAACGATGAGGGAAACATAGATTTTATCATGCGAGAGATGATATGTCTATACACTTCCGTTATACATTATATGGTAAGAACATTATATGGTCCGTTCTTATTTATTCCATAACAATTTTGCTCCCTTTAGAGCAATTTTCAATAAACTTTCAATGTGGCTGACATGACTCTCTAGGGCCTTTGAAATTCCATTGAAATATGCTGTGCCAAAGAAAGATTACGAGCGACTCTTCTCAGGGGGATTCATATTGATCCCAGACAGGAGGGGGCATTGATTTCCATGTAGGAAATGCCATTGCGCCATGGTTGTAAATTATCCAGGTTATTTTGAACATTTCTTCCATTGGAACCGTTTCTTTCATTCGCCTTGATATGGTTTGATAACGCTTTTCAAATAAATACATGATGATACAATGCTGGGGTAAAAAAATGTTCATGTCCTGGGATTTTCTCCTCGTTATGAAAGTCTACCCGTGCGAAAAAAAATCGTATAGGATTCTTATAGGAATACTACTTAGGTATAATGTTCTTAAAGATCCTATAAGATTCCTATAGGAATCCTATAAAAATCCTTTTAGAAATCTATGAGATTTTTATGTTTCAAAAGTCTCATTGGATCAAATAGGATGTTTTTTTCGTATGGGCAATGACACTGAAGAGATTGCTGTTTCTTGTTATTTGTAAGAATTTATCTTTACCTTGCTTTGACAGAAAGGATTTCAAGGATTTCACACGTTAAAATCCGCTGGGATCACGTCAGTCTATGGACAATACAAGTTTCACAAAAAAAGTTAGTGACAGTCCATATACTGTTTCATAGGTAGGGTATATTTTTTGCCGCGTCCTGTACGTTAGCGCATGACTATCTTCATGACAGGCTCCCATAATGTAGGAAACCTATCACTTGCGTCCATTTCTTTTTTCAAGTCATCTCTTAGCACCTGTGAACCTATTCATGGAGGCTTCAAGTAAAAGGAAGAAATTCAAGTGCGTTACATGTATTGGAATGCAATTAATGTCCGCCATTTGAGTGAGAAACTTGTTCTTGCTCAAGGGATCCATGATAAAAAGCATTAAGGTAAACGTACATCCTCTGCTCATTGTACGAACCAATGATGCAAAACTTCTAATGTAAAGGGATAATTTAGAGAGTCTCTCACCTGCCCAGGCGCCATAGGAGGTGAAAGGAGGGTAAGGGGCGTAGGCGTGGATGAGGTACCTCCTCGTTAGGTGGAAAAGCTGGACGCCTTCCCAAGCCAGCACCGAGAGCGTGACCATCCACGAGAACTCCGACCAGAGGCACCATCCGTCCATCCTCGTATCGATGCGCTCTTTCGCTTCGAGACACCCTGGGAGTATGTATCATGCCGCAGACATCTTGCAGCCTTGGGCGAGAAAAGTATGTTGTCTTGAAATCTGTTGAGAAGAATGACTCTGGCATGCATGGAATCGCGTAAAAGATTCATCAACAGACATGTCGGAAAAGTTGAAGGAAGCTGGGAATGATCAACTGCGTCTCGGACTCGACGGTCCGAAGGCCGATGTTCCCATCGCTTTCACAACTTGTCATTGCTGAAAAATTCGATGTACTCAAGACTCCTTTCAGCGATCCATGAGTACGAAATGCACGGTTAAATACGTCACCATCAAAATTTATTCTCCCGTTTACATACTGTACATATTATTGAATTTCTTCATTTAAAATTTAAAAATATGCACTTTTACCTACTAAAGTGAAACATTGTCAACATGATTTTCTTGAGGGGGGAAACTGAACATTTAATTTACGATTTCCTAAGTTAATGTTAAATGTAAAACAAAAATTTCTTCGTTTTTATGTGATCACGTGAAACCGTTCTTTTTTCGTTAAAAGCGTTTCACATTATAAAGGTTTGATTGGATATACTCATTTTTCTTAAAACAACCAGTTTTTCTCAATAAAAAAATACTCACGGTACCTCGCTGTCGCTACCTCGCCACATAGATGGCCCCCTAGCCCCACCTTTTAGGATTATACAGAATTGTGCAAAAGTAACTCTCCCAGAACACTTTTGTTATACACTCAAAGTAATTAATTTTGTTTCGTTTGGTTACAGAGTGACTTTATAACAACTCATCTTTTGACAAAAGGCCAACGAGTGTTTGTTTTGGGGCAATGGTGGAAAACGGAGTGAACAGGTATTGTTACCGATGCTTTTAGCATTCATTTCTCAGGTGTTCGGGACATGTAACTTTTGCACCACCCAGTATAATAATTTGATTATTAAAAATAATATTTATCGTCAATAGAAAGGATGGTGGCAAAAAGTCTTCACATCTTTTTGAAAAAAAAAGCGTAGACCTGTTTTAGGGGTTGAACCGGCACGTTCCGTAGGCCTAAAAGCAAGAAATACGCTAATCTCTTTGCACTCTCACTTGCACATTAACATATCTAAGGGCACACGACGGTACTGCTATTAGATTTCTGTCTGTATTTCTCTTTGCTCCGCCCCCAACGTCGTGCGTCACCCTGGTCTCACCGCCTGCCACCACATGCATTCAAATCGGCGATTCTTAAACTGTACGAGGAAGAGAATGCCAGGCCTGTCGTGGCAAATGGGGATTTTTTTGGCGTGGATATAAAAGATGGGGAAGAGGACCCGAGGCGACATGGCTCCTTTACAGGTGAAATGAAGGATCACATAGTGGAGGAAGTAGGAAACCTTTGTTGTTGTCTGTTTCTTGTTTTAGGAAGTGCTTTCTACATATGACGCTCCCAACTTCAGCGGACTCATCAAGATATGTGTGTGTGCTGTGAATATTTTCGTTTCTTTTCCCATCAAATGAATATTCTTTATTTTATGCTGGATATCTACAAAAATGAGGCTGCGACTTTTTCATCGAAAATCAGTTGATCTAGCTACCCGGACGGCGAATAATAATCACTGCGAAAGCCATTGCGGATGACATGCTGAAAGGTCCAAAATGACCCGTGAGCGCAAGATACCATAGTCCGAGTCGTACTTTTGTCATATTTCTAGATTTCAGGCTTTCCTGATTCAAAATAAGGGAGGAAGGAAGACATGAGACAGACCCCCTACAGGCACTCGAGTCGGACGGCTGAAACGATCGCTCACTGATCGGCGGGCGGGCGAGTCTCCAGATATCCAGGCGAAGGCGAAGTTCCCTAACTGGATATCGAAAAACGACTCTGGTTTTAGTTACCCGCCTCTCACTCCCTCATGGAAGACAATAATCCCGACGCAGCAGAAAACGTAATGCCCAGCGTAGATAATTTTTTTTTTTAAGTTACGATGAGGTATCGTTTTTCATCATGATAGATTGCGACCGAGAGTGGAAAGGAAGGGTGAATATCCCAAGACTGCGCAATTACGAATCAAAACTTACTTTTGCTCGACCTTGCCGGAAAGGCCCAAGATCACCAGTCCAACTTCTTCGTTCGGCACTAGGGAACTTCTACTATTACGTAAGGCGTTCCCTAGAAGAGCTAGGGTTCTTCTAGGGAACGCCTTATGTACTCGTATAAGGGGAGGATCCCGATCACAAACCGTTGCATCTTTTCATGCATTTTCATGCAGAAGTAAGGGTTTGCTTGCGCTCAAGACCGCAGGTGTATGATCTTCGATCGCTACGACTTGAAATCCAGTAGTTATAAACCCGATGGTACTCTCCCATGAGATCGATAGCATTCGCAGAGCATGGGATCGATCATCGATCTCATGCTAATTAAGATGCGGGAGGAAGAGTCTCCAGTCGTATAAAAAATAAAAAAGAGGAACTACGATGCAATCCAGAAGGGATCCCGTATATACATATCATGTGACAATGGAAGTCACGCTCAGATTCACCGGAACGTATATATACAGGACAACTGCTTTACGTTGTGGGCTTAGCNGAAAGGAGGGTAAGGGGCGTAGGCGTGGATGAGGTACCTCCTCGTTAGGTGGAAAAGCTGGACGCCTTCCCAAGCCAGCACCGAGAGCGTGACCATCCACGAGAACTCCGACCAGAGGCACCATCCGTCCATCCTCGTATCGATGCGCTCTTTCGCTTCGAGACACCCTGGGAGTATGTATCATGCCGCAGACATCTTGCAGCCTTGGGCGAGAAAAGTATGTTGTCTTGAAATCTGTTGAGAAGAATGACTCTGGCATGCATGGAATCGCGTAAAAGATTCATCAACAGACATGTCGGAAAAGTTGAAGGAAGCTGGGAATGATCAACTGCGTCTCGGACTCGACGGTCCGAAGGCCGATGTTCCCATCGCTTTCACAGCTTGTCATTGCTGAAAAATTCGATGTACTCAAGACTCCTTTCAGCGATCCATGAGTACGAAATGCACGGTTAAATACGTCACCATCAAAATTAATTCTCCCGTTTACATACTGTACATATTATTGAATTTCTTCATTTAAAATTTAAAAATATGCACTTTTACCTACTAAAGTGAAACATTGTCAACATGATTTTCTTGAGGGGGGAAACTGAACATTTAATTTACGATTTCCTAAGTTAATGTTAAATGTAAAACAAACATTTCTTCGTTTCTGTATCCCATCCCCACGGTCTGTATCCCGTTTTTCATCGGCCCAGGGAGGACCACGGCAACATCGATGCCGCTCATGGCCCGAGAACCCTCCACCGCGGAGTCGCCAATGCTTCAGCCCAAGGGAGAGCAGATGGCGGAGGAAGCAGCCGGGTGAACTGCCGTCGGTCGGATTCGAACCTGGACCTCATAGCATGCTGGCCCGAGACTTGAACCACTGAGCCGCGTCGACTCATAAGTTGTTTGGTTGAAATGATCGTGTACTGCATGGAGAGTACCGGGGACTTATTTCAGCGGCACCTGAGTACTCGCTGCATAAGCTACTTAACGCGTCGACTGCCGAACTAATTCTTTAACAAGCAAAACGTACGACCGGCGACGCACTCGGGAACCAATTTGTTAAGCGCCGTCTCGCATAATTCCTAGAAAAATCCTGTTTGTTGCAGTTGATGTTCATGCGGTTGCCGTACTCTTCAGTGATTATGAGTATCCGCTCGTCTTTCTTAATATCTGCGTTGTTTTCTTTCGAATGCTTCCAGCTTCATGCTGCCTGATTTTCTGTTCCGTTACTGCTTGTTCTTTCTTGAGCCACTGAATGGCATTCGGTAAACAAGCAAGACATTCGCCTGT